TAAAAAAAAAGTATTCTTGACTCAATGCCTATTATTCTCTTATTTAGATGAAAACAACAATGAAGACAATCATCTGTTTTTTTATATTATTTTTCCACATAGCCATTAGTTATGCTGATGATTCCTCAATAAATTTATTAGTTCGTTCATCTAATGATACATCTATACGTCGATATTGTGTTGAACTTGCGAAATTACCAAATGGTCATACAGTTAATATAACAGAATTTGGTTGGCATATTCCATACATTGCATCACCATCAGTTAATGCATGTAATATAACTGATCTTCAATATTCTTTACCACAAATATTTCCATTAAAAACAATTCTTATTCTTTATGAACATCAATGTAAAATGACTGAACATGCATGGAATGTTGAAAAACAATTTGGAGAAAATATATCTTTAATGGTTTTAACAAATCGTACAGATACACATTATGAATTAACATATAATACAACAACAATGCCTGTATCAATACCTGTACTTATTTTTTTACAGAATGATTTAAATAAAATAAATAAAACGTATAATAATAATATAAGTAATATTGAAATATCAATAGATAATCCTCCTGATATACAAAGAAAATTTCGTCCAGCTGTATTATTAATGTTTTTACTTGTTTTAATTATATTACTATGTGGAAATTTCTGGGCTGCTGATGAATTTATGCGTAAAATTCGAAATCCATATATGAATACACAAAGTGAATCATCAAATTTAAATGTAACACCAATATCAAATGATATTCAAGATTTAACATCAAATAATATTTCTCAAGATACAACAATACCAATAACAAATCAAGATACTCATAGTGAAAACAAGACACCACGAAATACTGAACCTGCTATTATTTATATGCCTTATTGTATTATTGCACTTATTTTAATTTTTGCTGTTGGATGGCTTCTACTTATTTATTATTTTCCTAAAGTCATGATTCATGTACTTCAAGGTAATAATTATAGAATCAACGATAAGGTTGTTTTTTCGTTGAATTGAATATTATATATTTCGTGAATATCAAAAAGTGACAGTGATAGAAGACATATGATCTATCATCTTATACAAATACCTAGAGATATTCCATTTGTTTTGCGAAGTATAAATAAAACGATTCTATTTTGTTAGTTAATATTTTTTTGACATACGGGTCATTTACTGAATAATCAATTAATCATATAAATTGTTTGTCTTGCATATTTCCTATGTCACAGGTTTGGAACCGGTCCGGCCGGGCCGGTAAAGACCGGAATTTTACCGGTTGAAAGTTTTCAAAAATCTTCTTTGTTAACCCTGTTTTTGACCATAAAAACTAAGGTATCACATGTTTTTTCTGTCAGAATACGTGAAAAAGTACTCAAAATATATGTTATATTAATCGTTTTCTCTGAGGTTCTATTTAAAAAGATTTATTATGATGAGTGCCTTTTACATGCGCCTTAAACTATTTCATATTTGGAGCCATTTTTTCTAAAAATAGGTTTTCAAAAAAAAATTCGACATTTTTTCACCGGTTTTTAACCGATTTTCACCGGAATTTCACCGGTTGGACATGTGATTCCAACCGGCCGGACCGGACCGTTTTAATATTTCTCAACCGGTTCCACCCCTGCTATGTCATCATTAGATCAAAATTACATTCCAAAGTAAATTTTCTCTTTCCATTAAACTTAACAATTTCCATCGTAAGTTTGAGTTATAAATAATCTTGAGCTCTTACTATTGGTATAAACTCATAGAATCGTCAATATTAATTTGCTGATAATAAAAAAAAAAAAAATTCATGATTTTCAAGATATCGATCAATTTTATGAATTATTCAGTAGTTATTAGAATTTAATAGTGCCTGTCAATATTTATATGAATGTCAAACAGATTGTGAAAATTATTCTTTCGTAAAATAAGTTTAATGATTTGAACAAATCTAATAAGTTAACACAAAGTAAATTTAAGTAACTATCTTAAAAATGTCAATTTTATCAACATAGAAATTGATAATAAATTTTGAATTTTTGCTTCTTTTTTTGTAGTTCTCTTTTGTATCGGTGCTTTTTCTTCATTAACTTCGTGTCTTGATCGTCTCAGTTATTTTGCACTAATTCTTCGTCGTTATCGTATTCCATCTCATACTTTTCATAAACCATGTAAATGTAAATTAGGTCCATTAAATATTTTTACTTTATGTGCAATGATTATATCATTAATATTTATTATTATTTGGTATATATATCGTCAAGCGGATTGGGCATGGATTTTACAGGATATTCTTGGTGCAGCTATTTGCATAACAGTTACATCTGTTTATAGACTTGGAAATATGCGTGTAATTACATTCATTTTACTTGGTTTCTTTCTTTATGATATATTTTTTGTATTTATTACACCATATATACCATTTTTTCAACCATCAGATTCGACAACAACAACAACAACAACCACAACAACAACAACAACAATAATAACAACTACAACAACAATACTAACAAGTGTAACAACATCAATTGGCTCATTAAATAATATTCATACAATTAGAACATATAAAAAAGTAGCAAGAACTCCATCTGTTATGGAACAAGTTGCTTTAGGTTTAGGAACAGATGGAGAAGTTGTTCCACTTTTATTTGCCTTACCTATGTTTATACCCGAAGAAGAAATTGATCCATGTTTAACAATGAGAAAATCAATGCTCGGTTTTGGTGATGTGATTTTACCGGTAATTTTTTTTATTTTGTTGAATATATAGATTTTCATTTTTATTGTTTAGGGTATTCTATTAACATTTTGTAAAATATTTGATATTGCTATTGGTAATCGTTGGCCAATTTATTATATACAATCAATAATATCTTATTTTGTTGGTTTATCTATAACACATGTTGCACTTTATTTAATGCAAACAGCTCAACCAGCACTTCTTTATTTAGTACCATGTATACTTTTATCAACAATAATAACTGGTTTATGTCGTGGAGAATTAAAAGAACTTTATACAGGAAAACGAATACAATTATTACTTGAAAATAAAACAAAAAGACAAAATAGTTCATTATTAAATAGTTCGGATAATTCAGGTGCAGAACAAACAAATGAATCAAATGATGTTGTTATTGGAATAAGTGATGCTGTTGGAACTGTTGCTGGTGTTGAAAATCAATAATTTACATTTTGTACAATATTATTTCAATGAATAAATTAGTTTTTTGACAGAAAATATATAATATGAACAAAATATTGACCGTATTTTATCCAAATTTTCTTATCCGAAGCAGCAATTTAATATTGTGGGAAGGCGAATATTTATTTTTTGCGAGTATAGACACATAATAAATAGTAAAATGAAGACAAATTGCAGAAGTGTTAACTCGATTTTCGGAAGGGCACCGATCTCCACACTAAATACTATCATAGGCAGTTAAAACAGTTGATATATTATTTGTATTTCAAAAGATAAGGCGGATCTCGCGCCAAATTCTCACATTCATAATATCATCGGTAAGTAACGGATCACCTGAGCATCAAGATATTAAAAGAAACGTGTATAAGTCATAATAATATTAATTACATACTACTATAACAATTCTTTGATTTGTATTATTGTCATAATCAGATATTGTTTCTAACGAGAGAACATTTCCAAGTAATCTCTCACTTTTAATCTCATTTATTTACTAATGAGTAGAGAATAGCTTGATTAGAATCAGTGTTCTATTCAGATTTTCTCTTCAGAGAAGACCAACCTGATTTTCGGAGAGACACCATCAAACACTAGTTAGAATGATCCTTAATGGATGCGTGCTCTTATTGAAATTTGACGGAGATATTCAATCTTTAGAGAATGTCCCCTGCAGGACTGAAGTTCTTCAGAAAAATCAGATTTTTGAATTTGGCCTACAGATCTTGATTAGATTAGGATGTAAAAATA